GCTTTTATTTCATTTTTATGACTTCTGTATTAGATGAAATTATAGCCCATAAGCATGGGATCACAAGTTCTCCTTGTGGCTGTTGACATGCAAACATTTTGTGACAGTTAATGACTCAGTATTTTAAAATATCCAGGGTACTTTGTTTGCAAAAAAACACATCTTCTGATTACAGGAATGACAAAATGTGACTAGAGGAATTTAGTGCTCCCAGGAAAAGCTTCTCATGTCAGTGTTCAATATTGAAAGTAGGGGGTTCCTGGACCTTAAATGTTTACATAATAAATGCACACCCTTGTTTTATGGATACAATAAGCAACCCTAAAAGTGAAAATTGTTTTTCCTGTAACAATTTGACTTTGCTTTTTGTTTTGGTTTGCTTTACTTGAGCTAGGGCTCACTACATGGCCCAGGCTGGCCCTAAGCTCACAGTTTTTCTGCCTTAGCCTTCAAGAGCTGGAAATCCAGGCATATGCCATCATTTTATGCAGTTGAATTTTTTTTCCCATCTGAAAGTCATTACTTATGTCTCCTTTCTACAACTTTCTGTATTTCATATTGTTGTGTTTTGTTTCATTGAGACAAACCCACTGCGCAGTTTTGGTTCACCTCGAACTCGAGACCATCCTCCTGGCCCAGCCTATGAGTGCTGGGATTACGCGTGTGCACTACAATGCCTGACTTTCTCTAAGAGATACTTCGATGTGAATAAAGAGAGATGAAGAAGGACAAGAAAATTGCAACCTTTACTTATTTACTTACTTTGGGGGCTGGGGATGAAACCCAGGCCTGGCCCGCGGAAAGCACTTTGGCACTGAATTCAACCTCTGGGCCCTGCTGGTGTCCTCTTGGGCTGGTTAGCCTCCCTCGTCCGGGCAGATCGTTCAATGGCTCTCCTCCAAAGGTTGTTTCCAAGGGTCCGCAGCTGTGAATGAAGCTGCCGTGAAACCCCACAGCGACGTACGCCTGCATCTTATGTGGATGACTTCCAAAGAGCAGAACTGCTGGACCAGAGTGATAACAGGTCTGTTTTAGAGGACATTGGGGCACCCTGACGGACAGCCAACATCCTCGCAGGCCCCGGATGTTGCAATTGCTCTGAATTTGGGCCACGCTTTTAGGGGCAACCACATTTCAACTCACAGTTCCTCAAAACCTTATGGTCATGGTGATGGGCACCCAGGATAGAACCCAGGGCCTCACACCTGCCGGGCCAACAGTCTACCCTGGGCCGGTACCCAGACCCTCCTCAAAACTTCTTAATCAATATTTTTGAAATCTACACTTAGAAGTTCCAAGTATGTATCACAAAAACAAGTTTACCCCCTATTAACACGGGCTCCATCTCGCCCTCCTCTCTGATCCTCACTTTACCCTCAGATATGTTTATGTATCTTCAAGAACAAAGCCATTTTTTTCTACAACCACAGTGCAGTTATCAAAACAAGAAATTAAGGGAATTCATGTGATTAGGTGAAGATTTTAGGGTGTCCTTTACATCGTTCTTGTGTGCATGTTCGTGTACGTCTGAGTGTAAAGCTCAAACATGGTGCAAAACTCCAAAATCTTAGTGAGGTGGTCTTGATAAGTTGCTAGCCCAGGCTGGAAACCCGCCTCAGCCTCCCTGAGTGCTGGGAGTACAGTGTGCGCTGCCGCGCAGGTGTAGAGAATGCACATCTGCCTCTGGCTTGCAAGGCTGGAGCCGTCGGGTCATCCTCTCTGTTCTGTGCCTGCCCCTTCTCCCTGTCCAACACACACAAGCACAAGCACTGCAGAGGAGTCTGTCGCCACCTTGGTTCTGGGCACTGAACCCAGGACTTCGTGCATGTGGCCCCACTGGATCATGGCCTCCTCTTCTGCCATTTATAAACTATGAGATTTTACACAAAAACAACAAAGTTCATGTTGCACAACCTGTCCTTCGGTGAGCCCCAATCTTATTGTATGAAAGCAGCATTCCTGTATGAAGACAAAGCAATCTGGTTTTCTGTTTTTAATTAACTGCACGACAGAGCAACACATGATTCACTTCCTCCACGGGGCAGTGACTGCAGGGGCGGCACTCAGTCTCCAGATCCCGGGCCAGCTCCACTCTGCCAGCCTGTTTCCGCGGGATGTGTGTCTTTCTGCACTTCTAGATTCTTCTGGAATGGACACCAGCTGCCTCTTCCTTCCTCACAGGCCAGGTGTTCTGGTGATGGTGGGGATACGGGCTTAGGCTTTCGGAAACACAAAGATTACTGGAGGTTTTCAGTTATAGTTTGAAGTTCCTGACTTTGGTTTCAAATACTAAAGAATCTAGCTTTGCTATTAACCAAGAGTTTCAGCTTGATAAAATATTGATTTACTTTCTTTTCAGCTGCTATTTCAAAGGTCTGTACTCATAATCATTTAATATTTTTGAAAAAAGAATGAACCACTGGTCCTTTTTTTCTTAAAAAAAAAAAAAAAAGAAGGCTTGGATCATCAATAGGAACTAAGTGCCTATAATTTATTGAGCACTGCACTAAAAGGTGGGGACATCAGTGATCAACACTGATAAAAAAGAAACCTTGAACTTTGGGACTCATGTTCTAATAGGTATAGCCAAGTTTTTTTTTTTTTTTTTTTTACCGGGAATTGAACTCAGGCCCTTACACTTGCTTGGCAGGTGCTTAAGCCACTGAGCTCTCTCCCTGGCCCTAGACAAGTTTTTAAGAGACCAGAAAAACAGCAAGTTATGTAGTAAGTTGCTAAGTGCTGGCAAAGAAACAGATTAAGGAAGAACGAGAAGACAACGCTGGTGGTGGAGACAGGTGTCATTTTAAATATTTCAGAGGGCTGGAATAGAGCGCCTTCCCAGCACGTGCAGGCCTTGGGTTCAATCCCCAGCAGAGAGGGTGAGATGTGAGCCAAGGTTTTTTTTAATTGCAAAGATGGCAAGCACACAGCGTTGGGGGATCAGGGGCACTGCTGGAAGAGAGAAGAGCTAGCGCAGGAGACGCAAGAAACGTGTGAAAGCTGGAGTGCACCTGGCTTGTGGAGAAAAGAGTGTGTCCATGTGATGGTTGCTTCATTTAGCCGCATAGGTGCAGGCACGGGGAAAGCATAGCTGCATCAAGGAGGTTTGGGTTTCCTGAGTAAGACAAAGCCTGACAGGACAGAGGTGGCGAGGAAGTGAGAGCACGATGGTGGCGACCGAGTGTGCAGGCGCAGCAAGGTGAAGAAGCCAGGACACCAGAAGCAGTGACAAATCACTTGGCTTCTTGAAGGCACTTTCCTATCTGAAAATCCAAGAATGTCACTGAGAGGCTTTTTGGGTAACATACCTGTTCCCTTAGACAAGGAGCCCGCAGTGCATATGCAAGTCAATGAGGGGTTCTCAGGTGTGAATGATGACGTCATGAACTTGCACCTACTCCATGCAAGGAATTGTGACAGCAAACATGTACTAATAAAGTTAAAAATAAATGAAAGCACCAACAAAAGTGATTGTTGATATACTGAATGTCTTGAGTCAGGCAATGGCACCATTACTGTCTCTTTTAAGTCCCACCCACACCATTTTTAAAATTTTTAATGTATTTGGTTATTGCAGGGTCTCACTACACAGCTCAGACTCATGGTGATCCTCCTGCTTTCAGCCTTCCCAGCGCTGGGATTATAGATGTGCGCCACTACGCCCAGTCGCTAGCCTGCTCAGCACGCCCTGGGGGCAGGCTGGCATGGCATATGGTACTGGGGAATGAACCACGGTCCTTGTGCTTGCCTAAGCTTGCCGAAGCAGGCGTGATAGTCTGCTGAGCTATCTCACCGCCCCCCACCCACCACTCTAAAGAAGAACCTGTGTCTAAATTCACAAGCAGCAGTCAGCCAGTGACCTCGCTGTCTCCTCCCCACGTGAGTTTGCTATTCCAGTGGCGTGTTGAGGGTTGGGACACTCGCAGAATTGCACCACCATATGCTTACCAAGATCCGCAGGAGTATATTAGTTTCAGAAGTGCCGAGTGGCACCACGCTGGCATTCTCTACCACATCCCGCCCCGGAGAAACTCAGACCCAACTGAGCCATCCTGATGAACAAAAGCAATGTTCGTTTTAAGGAATCCTTAAAATGCCTATGGCTCCCAAGTATCACTTAACAGGCTGGAGTTACAACTCAGTGACACAGCGCCTGCCTGGCAAGTGCAAGGCCCTGAGTTCCTTTCCTGGTACCAAACAACAAAAATACAGCACATCCAAAACACTTGGTTAAAGTCAAAAAAGTAGAATGACGGTAAGGATCATTTAACTGAATCAGTCCTTGATGATTTCCAAAAGCTAATAAACACTAAAAAGGATTATATGGAAATGTTTTAGTTGTAAAATCATATTGCAAGTCTTTTAGGATTTTTTTTTTTTTTAATCTAAAACCAATAAACTACCCAGAGGTTGCAGGTGTGCTGTGAAATACTGCTTGTGTAGTGCTTTGTATCACTTGACCGTTTTTGGATGACCACGGGATTATAACAGGGATTCAGAAAAGCAGTCCTAGGTCAGGACGAGTCAGAGCAGGAGCAGGAATAAAGCTGTTCTGTAACTCTTCTGTCACTATGCAGCCACTAGAGAATCTGGGCAAAGGCCATTAAGTACAGAAGAAAGCAATCTCTCCCAAGGCTGGGGCTGCGCTCTGTTACTGGCTCCTGGACCTAGACTCGGTAGTCACTATTGTGGTATGTGGGGACCCTGAGGTCTGTTACAAGCTGTAGTGGGTCTGTTACCAGCTTTCTTTTTTTGGTAATGAGGATTGAACTCAGGACCTTGCACTTAGCAGGCAGGCGCTTGCACCGCTAAGCTATAACGCCAACCGCCAGCTTTATTCTTGACAGACTTTGATAAGTTTTTTAGTTTTATCTTTTATTTCATTACCCCTTGAAGGGGGATCAGTACTGTGTTGAGACAACTTTTTTCTAAGCAGAAAACCAAAATCATTGCAAACCAAACACATATAATCTTAGCTGAAATAACACTAAAGGCTTAAGGACTCATTTAAGGATGTTTATTTACAAGATACAAATGTTTAATATTTAATAGGAATTAAAGTGCTTAATTTTACAATGTTTTCCATTATCTGCCTTTATGACCAAATATACATATGTTACACAGTATGTACACTATCTGCAAGTATTTTACATTCATACAGCTAGGAAAGAAAAATCATTGTGTACACTTTTCACATTAGAGCCGACTCTATAAAATTCTGAGAACACATCTTTTCAAACTTAGTCAACAAATAAAACCAAGATAATACTTATTTTTAAACATCAGTCAATTGTCACTCACAAGATGAAATGCTAGTTTTTTAAATTTTCTATATAGATAATGATTGTTTTGCTAACGACAGCCCCATGACACATTCCAATACCCATATACTATGTAATATATGATTTGATTCTGTTATAATGGTCCCCAAGACTACCGTTCCTTCTCGAACCTATGTATAGTATTAACTTATTAAAATATACTAAGGTTTCTTGATTTGCTTTTTCACCAAGCCTACCACAGTGAATTTTAGGCCAAAGGACAGGCCACATGGACCTCGGTGTCCCCACGGGTTACCCGGCAGAGCCTCATGTTGCTTCACTTTGACACAGAAGACAAGAGTTCTGCCGAGTGTTGAGCATTCAATCCAGTGTCAGGACGGTCACTGACCTTCGAGGGAGGCTTGCCCTCAGCCAACAGCAGAGAAAATGGTCTAGAAAATGAAGTGTTTCTTAAAATTCCAAGGAAAAAACCAATGCCAAGATCCTGCAGTCTAACTTAGAGGCCAAGTTCAGAGCCCGGGCGGGATGGACCGTAGCAGCACGCTGAGTCAGGGCCGCTTTTCCAGCGCCTGCTGCCCACCAGCACTTCCCTAACTCCTGCAGCTCTGATTTGGAGAGGGCGGCCTTCCTGTCACCTTCCCTCTGTTCCTTCAGGTTCTGTTCAATTTCTCGCTCATTCCTCTCCGCCTTATCTAGAGAAAGCAGAGTAATCTCCCCACAGTAAAACAAGAGGAAGGACAAGTAAAAGGACGAATTATACATTAAAAATTCATGTGCATAATTTATGTTAAAATACTTAAGTTTAAAAAATTTCTATAAAAATTTCATTCCTATGGAAGGATAAAATTGAAAATCAATTTTTACATATGTACATATAGATATAAATTCACAGAAAGAGTTTTTAAATAGACCTACTGGTCTCTATATGTACTCAATTTCTAAATGTAGAGAAACTATAGTAAGACAGGACGTAGTATAAAAATAAAAAGTGGTTTGATTCTAATAAAACTGGAATGAAGAATGAAGAAGTAACATGATCTGCTATAGATATCAATAGAGCCCTAAGAATAGGAACTGGTTTGTCCCAGTTTTTATATTGACACATTCTTGGAAAATTTAGATTTTCAGAATGAAAACAAAGACACTTTTGTCTTTCAGGTTTTTGCTGATAAAGTCCATGTGCATTCTAGTCCTTAGACTGTTACTATGAATATCATGCAATGTATAAATTTTCATAAATCTACATTGCATTATAGCACACATATTTGCAAAAAAAAAAAAAAATAGTAGACCTTGTTCCCTTGAAATGTGTTTGCTGCTGATGGTGGTGTTCCTTCAGATACACACATTGCACAGAAAGGTCATGATTAGAGATGTATCGCAGACACTACGCTCAGAATAACTTAAGGTTTTGGACAGAAACAAAATGAACCCTAAAATGTGAATTGGGGAGAAAGCCTCCCGTCTCTACAAGGTAGAAAGACAGAAATATGAACTTGCAGAAGTATTTTTGAGACAATGTTTTTGAAGGCATCAGTGGATCTTTAACAACCCTGCAGTACCAAGAAGTTTTGAGAGTTTTATTTATACATCTAACTAGAATAAGTGAACAGGATCCACGGGGAAAATTGAAAAGGGCAGTTCCTGTAAAAATCTGAGTAATTTAATGAAATTTTTTTGTAGGTCAGCCAGGTGAGGACAAGTATGCGAACATACATGCTGAACTTCATGGACAGCAAAACGTAGTGTAATGCTGCAGGTATGCTTTGTTTTTTGAGCCATACCCTCTGTGAGCGTCAGGACACTTCTCAGAGTATCTGAACAGGAATGACTCCCCACCCCCAAGCCCCTTCCCTGGAACTCAGCAGTATGTATCATCCTGTCACTTGCAGGAATTTCTCCATATGCTTCGGAGTAGGAGCCTCCACATTAAACTTTCAATATAATTCCACGCCAGCAAAGTTGTACTGCTTGCATATGTGAGGGCATTTAGACAGCATTAGTGACAAAGCGTCTGGTGGCATTTTTCCTTATTGAACCCACTTACAGCCATGAGATAGAGGCTGCACCCTACCTCGACTTATGGTACTAAATGGCAGACTTTCAACAAAAGCAAAACCTAAGCCTAAAAAAGCCTGAAATGCTTTCTAAAGAATAGCAGTTTTATCCAGGAAGTATTTTTAAGCCTGAAGGGCACTTTAAAAAATGATGACTTGGGAGAGCACCAAATCAGAGATGTTAACAAATTAAGGCCCAAATATAACATTGATTTTAATAGGAAAAAGCAATCAACGATTTCTTTTTATTTATTTTTTAAGGTGCAATCTGTCTCAACAGTTCAGGCGTCTTGGAGAGGAAAAACACTGAGAATTCTGTGTCCAACTGCTCGTTGAGGTATTTTAGTTTATGTGAGTGTTTAATAAGTGACCAGAGAATTCCTTTGCCTTCTTCCAAACAAAACTATTAATAATTATTTAAAAAAGAAACGAGTAAGGCGGCTTTATTGCTTCTCTTTGTGCTTGCTAAAGAATGTGGCGAATAAAGTGAAGATGGTGACTGGACAGCCAGAAATCTTACTATTTCCTGTTTCTAATAAGTTATGAAAAATGAATGTTAAAAGCATGGTAATAAATTTTCTTTTGGGCCAGGATATAGGTCAGAGACATAAGTGCCTGCCTGGTAAGCTCAAGGTCCTGAGTTCATTCTCCGGTACCAAAAAAAAAAAAAAAAGATATGAGCATAAATATTCTTTATACTATCCTTTCAACAACCTAAGGTTAATGTGTCTATGTTACACCTATTCCTGAAGAACTTAGTGGTAGGAAAACATAAATTCTTGCTGCTTAAATAGTTTTCAAAAATAATTTGACTCAGAAAGCTAAATGTCACACACATCCTTTTTTTTTTTTTTGGAACTGGGAATCGAACTCAGGACCTTGCACTTACTTGCCCGACAGGTGCTTGTGCCACTGAGCTATCTCCCCAGCCCACACCCATGGTGGTATACACAATTATGAGAATCCTCATCTGATAATCATCTTACATTTTTATTGCTTCTCTTTGTTAAAAAGTAGCCACTATAGCTATAGTTTAATTTTCTCAATTACTACTTTGAACAACTGCACCTGTCTATCTCTGACACACACAGTGGGCAGCTAGAAGAGAAGGCAATGTAAAATTTCTTTTAGTTTGGGCTGATTTAATAGGGCATAAGAAGCCACCTTGTCTCTTTTGTAGCTTTAAATATTTGGCTTAATGTTAAATGTTCAAGGCTGGTATTCCTGTCGTGCAGGACAGGAACCTAACTAGCAGCCACAGTTGGTTCGCTTGCTCCTCTGGAGTACTGTTTATTTATTAAAGCACCAGGGCCTGAACACACGTGGGCGGACTCAGATTGAGCCTATCTGTGCTCCTTATAAGATGTACTCCTTCAAGTCTGAGGACGGTGGGTCATTCTTGTGGATTGCTGACTGACAAGTGATAAAAAGTGGCCCTACAACTTACAGTACACGACTAGCAGTGTAAGCTGCCCGGGGTATGTCAATGAAGGTGAGATCTAATTGGAGGGAAGGATTAAGTTAAATGATCAGTGTGAAACTGCAGCAGTCTTGGTGACAAAAAAAAAAAAAACACTTAATTTTTCAAATTCTAGAGGATAAAAGGGGAAAAACATTTTCATTTTCTTCAATCGTTTGTATCTTCAGAAAAATCTGCCATAAAAATACCGCCTTTTCTCTAGTGTTTTCCCCTCCCCCTTCTGGGGAGCTGGCAGAGCATAAACTTCCTTTAGTTCCTGTCAATCAGACCCTGTCCCCACATATAGGTCTGCAAGTATGAATTTTAATTCATATCTGACACAAGAGTAGACCCACACAGTTATCTGGAGCTTCCAATGTAGAGTCCTTACTTCACCCTGCATAACAGTCTTACGGAAAAGGAGAACATTATAATAAATGGAGTCTCCACATGTCCCAGTCTATGTAAGGTCAGGTGCCTTCTAACACAGTTCAAGTTTTGGTAAAGATTTTTGTACATGCTGATGTCAACTACTGCCACAAGTATATTATTGTAAGGGATAAAATAACCCGTATGCCTTTGACTACTCCAGTGATCAAAATGCATTTTAACTTCAAAATAATCAAACAGAAACATTATCTGAACCCTCACCTTTATATTTAAATAGCTTCTGTTAATAGCACCTTCTAAGAGAGGCACTGTTTAAATAGGCACAGAACAACAACAAAAAGAAAGTACTCTAAAAATACTGGAGTTCACTAGTATATCCCATGCCACATAAATTACTGCTTTTTCTTATTATAAAAATATCAATACCCTTAGATACCAATCCGTTAAATGTAAATCACCAAAAACATTTAAGTTTAGAATACTGCTCAGTTCCAAGATAAAACATGCTTTAAAGTTAAAAAATAAATTAGAGATGATGTAGACCTAAAGCAGGAGAAAAGCATGTACAGTATATATGTTCATATTTAATTCTATGTACAGATAATTGCTATGTACTTTAGATATTGTATTCTTAGGAGTATTTCTACAAAAACAAGTATCTTTTTTTAATAAGTCAAAAGTCTGAACACTACAATTTGTCCTTTTTCTTGTTGTCAAAACAAAACAAAACAAACCACCATTTATGCAGTTTGAGGTTTATGAACTAAATAAGTTAATACAATTCCCTAAGCTGTCCCTGTACTTCTCACCACACATCTATTTTGGCAACACGGAGGTATATCTTTCAAACTCTTACAGGTCCTATGCAGCAAGGAGACGCAATGAAGAATTTCCTTAACGAAAGTGGCCCATTCTACCTGTTAGTGACACAATCGACACCATTTTCTTCAAGACAAAAAGCACACATTCAAGGAAAAGTTGATTAGGAAAAAAAAATCTCCATTTTTCACATTACTTCAACACTTTATCAGAATGGCTGTGCACATTAATTTTACCAAGAGTACGCAAACACAGGCAAACGATCCCCAGCGGACAGACGCGGTCCTGATCCTGGATTTTCAATGTAAAGTGCTAAGAGACGCGGGACGGAGCTGGGAACGTCTCGGGCTGCGTGCCTCCGTGGAGTTCAGCACTCGGATTTATTCTTAGGTTCGGGGGGCTCGTCTAAGCCGGCTAGCTGCTCATCTGGACCATCCGGGGTCTCACCTGTGACAGCTAAGAGGATGATTTTCAGCCACTTTTGCTTCAGTTCCTCGCTGTCTGCAGCAAAGCTGTGCACAGATTTCGACTGGGTCAGTTTGAAGCTGTGCGGCAGGTCCGCGCTGCGCGGCATATCGTCCACAAGGTAGCCGAGCAGTGGAATCGTGGCCTGGGCGCGGACGTCCTGCACAGAGAATGCCGTGCATCAGAACTGAGAGAGGCCTTGCACTGGGTCCCGCGCAGACAAAACCTTGCTTCCCACTGCGCCCCACTGTGAGCTCCTGGGCAGAGGGGCCGCCGACCCCTGCTCAGGTGGCAAATAGAAATGCTGGCTGCAGGCTCCAGGGAGGAAGAAAGAAGATCCAGAAGAAAGGGGAAGGAAGTAACAGCCAGCTCAGCCGTCAGGCCCGGCAGCAGGTGCTCACCTGGGCAGCACAGGGGACGTGAAAACGATACTTTACTTGGCAATCCATTCATTTATCAACTTATTTATGGATGACGAATGGGTTAGGAAAAACACAGTAGAATGAAGTGCATAGAACTTGGCAATTTTTGTCTGTTTCTACAATAATTTTACTAGCCTTAAAGTAGATGCAACAGACATGTTTACATTTTTACTGTTAAAGTAAATGCATGTGTGGTTTGAAAGTTTTTGGTTTTTTTTAATGTGTTTAGTACAGGGTCTACCCAGTCTCACTACACAGATCAGACTCGCAGTGATCCTCCCGTTTCCAGCTGGGATTATAGGCGCACCACCAGGCCCAGTCTCATTCATCATCCCAGCATGCCCTGGGGGAGGGGCCAGCACCGCACACTGGGGATTGAACCCTAGTCCCTGCGGCTGCCTAAGCAGATGCTTTAATCCACCTAGCTATCTGGTTGGTCCAAAGGTGGTTTGTTTTTTAACTGCTACATACCTGGTGCTTGATCTTACCAGAAGCCCAGCCTGGCTAACAGGCTGTCCCCACAGACCTATCTCAGAAACACGGTTACAGAATGCAAGACTGCCTGAAATCCACCTTTCTCTCACACTGCTATCATTTCAAATATCCATCAAGCTCAACACAAAACCAACCGTCTTAATGTTTACAGCCATTGAAAAAGATGGCTTAATGACTCCTCCTCAAATGCCTTTCCTAACTCACCTTTCTGCAAACCCACCAAGGAGGAATGTGCGAAGCAAGGAAGCGAATCCCCCGCATAGTGAACTCTCGCTATCAGGCCAATAGTCAGCATACACAATACACTTGATTTCAGGCATTATTTTTTCATTTTAATCAGACACAGTGACACAACCTGAGCTCTCTGACCTACACAGGAAGAATGGAAGGACTTCTATCTCACTTCCAAAAGTCCTCCCTCTGTCCCTGAGGGCTCTGTCCCTGCAAGCGCAAGCCATGTAGCTACCTGGGGGGCTCCGTACATGTACAGCACAAGAGGGTCTTGCTTGGGGATCACACACCACGCCTTCTGCCAAGGCTTTGACTTTTCCATGTACTGAAGGAAGCTGCACACCACACTGTTTCCCGACACCTCTGCTGATTCAATCTAGAAAAATATAATGAGGAGAGAATAAACACAACAAACCAGACATGGAGAAGCCAACATGGGAAGCAACCTTTAAATACATAGAAGTGCATATATTTATATAAAATACATCCGCTGGATTGTCTAAAAAAGATTCACTTGCAATTACTACCGTTCTAAACTCGTATGGTTTGGATCTAAAATGTTGCCCCAAAGTTTTAAGCGTTCAGAGGTGGGACTGGCTTCAGACCTACAAGGACATTCTTGTCCTAGGCTCCTCGCCATGCCGCCTCTGCACACTGGCCACAGGGTGAGCAACTGTCCTCTGCCACCTGCTCCCACCATGCTGCTTCCACCTTGGGGCCAACCTACCACGGACTGAGCCCTCCGAAGACAGTGAGCTGAACGGAACCACTCCTCTAAGTTTCAGGTGTCAGTGTCAGGTATTTTGTCCAGGCAACAGGTAAGCTGACTAGCACACTCTTTCACTAACAGAAAAAAGTACTTCAATGCAACATTAATTCTATATTACTAGATCTTTTTTTTTAATTTTATTTATTTATTTAATTTTTTTTGTGTGTGTGGCCAGCTCAGCCCACCAGGGGGCGAGGCTGGCTGGCATGTGGTACTGGGGGATTGAACCGCGGTCTCTGTGCTTTGCTTAGCTTAGCTTGTTCTTTAGGTGCTTTAGACCACTGAGCCATCTCATCAGCCCTACTAGATCTTGAATTTAAGTAGTTAAAACATTTATTGATTACTAATGACATACTTTGCTTCATACATGTATTATTTCATTTAATACACTCACACTGAGAAGTTAACACTTGATCTCTGAAGTTGGTATTTAATTATTTTTGGTAGCTGGCTCAGCCCACGCTGGGAGTGGGGTTGGCATGGTACGTGGTGCTGGGGATCTAACTGTGGTCCCTGTGCTTGCCTAAGCAGGTGCTTTAGACTGCTGGGCTACCTCACCAGCCTGGAGCTGGTTCAGGCCCTTGCGCTTGCCAGGCAAGCACTTATTCTACTGAGCTATTTCCCCAGCCCCTGGAGCTGGGTTTTTAAGTTTCCCAACATACATTTTCTATTTTATTAAAAAAAAACAACCACAAATTTTTATAACCAAATAAGAGATTGAATCTAAATAAGCCTACAAGTTCTTTTTTAAATTTTATTTGTTTATTTATTTTATTTTTGTGTGTGTGTGGCCAGCTCAGCCCACCTGGGGGTGGGGCTGGCTGGCATGTGGTGCTGGGGGATTGAACAGCAGTCCCTGTGCTTTGCTAAGCTTGTTCTAAGTAGGTGCTTTAGCCCACTGAGCCATCTCACCAGCCCAAGCCTACAAGCTCTTACACTGTGTATTGTTACTATCAAAGTAGTTATTCAGTATAACATATAAATCAAAAAGATTCTTATAAAATGAGACATAACTCTTTTCAACAAACAAGATTAATCAGTATAAATGAAACAAATCAGTATATATATTGAAGTATTTCTAAAACAATGGAGTATAGACTTTGGGGAATCATTTGAACTTCTCCCTACTCCCTATTTCTCTCTTATAGTCTGCTGTGTGTGAATACATGCAGTTTCTCATTGTTACAGCTTGTGTCTAGGTGTACCCCCAAAGCCTCCTGCAGTCACTGGGGCGGCTTCTAGAGTTCGTGATTAATTCATGATCCAAAGTTGGGATTATGGGTGTGAGCGCTACCCCGCCCTGGGGCAGATGGCCTGAATACAATATAAGGAAGGGAGAGGGGCTCCGAGCTGCTGCAGCTGCTGCTCCTCCCTTTGCTCTTTGCTGTTCTTCGGCTGCCACGAGCTGCTGCCCTCTGTCATGTGCCACTCTGCCTTGGAGCCAGCTGAGTATGGACTGAAACCTCCACAAACTGTGAGCTCAATACATTTCCTTAATTTTGGGTATTGGGTATTTAGTCTCAGCAGCAAGAGAAAGGTAATCAAGACACTCATAAAACAAAACAAAACAAAACAAAAAAAAACACGTGATACTTGAGCTCTGTGACTTATTTCACTTAACACTGTGCTCTTAAGTTGCATCTGCTTCCCTATAAATGCCTCAAGTTTCTCTTCCTTTATGGCAGAGTAGTGCTCCATTGAGTATAAATACCAATTTGCCTTATCTACTCATCGGCTGATGGATATATATGCTATTTCCAAGTTCTCCTTATTATAAATTATGCTGCCATAAACATGAGCATGCATGTACCCGTCGTATGATAATTTAACTCTTTTGGGACAGTATCTAGTCAAGCAATCGCTAGTTCACACAGAATTTCTATTTTTAGAGGAATCTCTGCATTGATTTCCATCTAGTTGCACTACTTTATATTCCTATCAACAATGTAGTAGAGTTGCATACTCCCCACATCCTCACTAGCATTTGTTACTAGTACATTTTTTTTTTTTTTAGGGACTGGGGATTGAACTCAGGCCCCTGACAAGCATTTGTTCTACTGAGCTATCTTATCTTCCTGGCTCCCACTAGTAAATATCTTGAGGATGGCTTTCTTTTCTGGGTTAACCCAGTGTAGTTGTAATTTGCAGTTCTCTGATGGCCAGCCATGGTGAACTTTTTATGTATTTACTGGCTGCTTGTACATCTTTGGAAACATGACTGTTCATTCTGGCTATCTGGTTTTTGTGTGGGTCTTTACTTCAGGGGATCTAAGATTTTTGAGTTCTTTGTATATTCTAGATGTTAGTCCTGTCTATAGAATAGCTGGCAATTTTTTTTTTTTTTCCTTTCCATTCCTCAGGTTGTCTCCAAGCTCTGTTCATTGTTTCCTTTGCTGTGCAGATTTATTTTTTTCTTTTTTTCTCTTTTTGGTGCTGGGGATCAA